CACAGTTTTTCAGAATCTTTTTCTTTTCTTGGGGTGTTTATCGTAAATATCTTTTGAAGATATTTTATTTTAGGGGTATCTAAGAAAATATCTTTTGAAAGATATTTTCATTCTGGGGCAGTTTTGCAGTTAATCCTTTTTGTAAGGGTCATTGTGCAATTAACGAAAGTTATTGCAAAATACCTTGTCTGGTGCCTGGATCCTCATACGGGATTCATTTTCACATTTCATTGAGTCGCGTACTCTTAGAATTCCATTCTGGTCATTTTTCTTCAGTTTCAGAGTTTCTAGGCTCGATTGCCGCCGAACTTGTTCGGGGCATATCTCTCTGCTCGGGACTTGGTTTTTGACGCCATTTCTTCCATTGTTCATATTTTCTCATTGTTCATCTTTTTTGTTCACATAGTTTTGCCGTTTGAGCGCATTTGCTCAAAATCCACTTTTCCAAACCTAGCGGGGCCCTTATCGGGGCACTTTTTGAGATTTTCTATAAATAGGGGACTTAAAGAGAAAATATCAGATTTTTCTCTCTCTCCTCTCTCTTGGCCGGCAGCCATGGTTGCCAAGGGTCTGCCGGTCTTTCTTCTTTTCCGGCCACTTCCCTCGTGTAAAACATAGTAGTACCTTAGTGTTTATACTCGCCTTGATGACGCGCACCTTTTGCCCTTATTAGAACCCATTTTTGACCATTTCTTGAGTCCAGGTTTGAAGTCAAGTTGTGATTTTCATGGGGCTTCTTGCGGATTCTTGTTCACGGTGTAGTCCCCGATAAAACTCTTCGGTATCGTCGGATTCGGAGCATTTTTGTTCTAGTGGGCTTTTGAGATTTCATCTCAAATTGAGGTAAGGGATGTTCTAGATTTAATTCTTGTTATATAGCATGCTTGTGATGCTTATACAACTTGTTTGCATGATTAAATATAAAATCTAGAGATTTTATTATTTATTTTTCTTGTACGGGATCTGATTTTCCCGATTGCTCATGACTTGGTTTAAACATGTAGCATGATATTATATTGCCCCATAATATGCTCATTGTCGTGTATTAAATTTAGAGCATTTAAATAAGTATTAAAGATTTTATTTAATATTTATCTTAGGTGAAAGATTTATTCACATGGCCTTAACTAGCTTGAAATCAATATGTGTTAGCATATTATATTAGGCCCTAGCATGTTCTTCAACATAGGTGAATTTGAGAGTAATCGAAGATGTTTTGAAATCTAGTAATATTTAATTAATTTGATTAATTAATTTATTCCAAGTACACTATTCACTCCATCGGAATTCCGACTTGATATTCATGATATGTATGTCATATAGTTTCACATATATTAAATCTAGAATATTTGATTAACTTTTAAAACTTTTTATTTATTATTTTTCTAGTATTAAAGTTTAATACTCATGGCCGTTCATTACATGGAATGTACTCGTATCGTGTCCTTAAATTAAGTCTTGGCATGTTATATAACATACTTTAAATTGAGATCATTTGGATGAATTTCAAAATCTAGAGATTTTAATTAAAAGGATTAATTAAAATCCATTCAATGGTTACATGGACTAGATTAAGTTTCTAACCTAGTATTCATGCTTTTCTTGACAAGTTCCTTCACATGTATGAAATTGAGAATAATCGGATAAATTTTGAAACTTATATTTATTTATTTTCCTTGTATGGAACTTACTTCACATGGTTGTATCTTGCATAGAATGAGCGGGTGACTTGACATTGGACTTGCCTTGTAATCTTGGTTGTGCATGAAACGTGGTTAATGCATTTCTTGTATTTTGATACTATCTTGGTTGCACAATTTGTTGATTTTGGGACTTAGGATATCAATCAAGAATTGACATGGCTAGGACTTGGTTCTAGTACAGGGGAATGTCCTCCTACACTATAGTGCGCACTAGGGGAAAGGTACTCATGGATTAGTAGCCCTAAAGTGATCTCAAGAGTACGGTTTTAATCCGGGCGATATCCGAGTTTTTCACATTGGTTGATTTCACTCTTTAAATTTCAAATTGCTATTCCTTGAAGATTTAAACTTGTAATCTTGTTTACTTGCATAGATATTATACCTTGTTCATGATTTCATGTATAACTTTTTTCTTGTTTCATGGAATGTTCCATCCTTATTTAATTACATAGATATTATGCTTTGTTCTTGATTTCGTGTGTTTTTTTGCATACAGTGCAGACCTTACTCTGAGAGTTCTTCCCTTGACGTCTAATCGGATCTTCTTCAACCCACTTTTCCACATTCCCAATCTTGAACTTTATCATCAGCTTCCGGTCTCCGGAAACTGGAGTTTCCGGCACCGGCAATTTCTCATCGTCTTGCTTGATCGATTGATACTAATTTTCTAAATTATTGCTCATTTTAGATTCAATTAAACACGATAACAAAAATTCTGCTGATATATATATATATATATATATATATATGTATCTCTAAATCTATATAGTGATATTTGTGACGAACTGTAAGATAGCAAATAAAAAAAAAATCTCCATATCTTCAGGTTAGAGAGAGAGTAAAGATTAATTTTAGCGACCCAATAAAAAAAGAACTACATGAATCAACAACAGATCGGTGAAGAAAAATCTACTGTAAAACGGAGATTGATAGAGAGAGAAAGAGAGAGGCAAGGACAAGGAAATTCTTGCAAACCCAAATCGAAAAATCAGCTCAACAATGACCCATATAAGGAATGCATCAATATGTATATAAATCCAATCTAGATGAGCGACGGGATCAAGAAACGAATCTTGCAAAAAAAAACCAGATGAGAGAAAACTCTAAATTTTGAAGCTATAGGGGTGATGTTTGAACACTAAAGGTGTTATTTGCACATTTTTTAAACTAGGTTTTTTTTGCACTTACCCCATATAAGTGTTGTCAAGTTCCCCTTTTATAACGCGAGATATTTTATGTGATAATTTTAGGCATTTCAAAATTACTCTTTTTTTTTTTTTTTTTTGAAGATTTCACTGATCACTTTACGTGTTCCCTATTATATGCACAGTGTCTTCAGACACCAATTTGTTTCACTTCAAAGCCAATGAAACATGTCATGCATGATTTATCATTTTCATTTATTTTATGTTGTCTTGATCACAACAGTTTCCATGCATACTTAGAAAATTTCTCAAGCTTCTTACTATTGAGAAAATACCTTGGACAAGTAACTGTTCTCAAGAGAACTTATATCCAATGCCTCCAGATATGCATAAGTTAATCAAGTTGCTATATTATTTTTGTATGATGCAGGCATATGAATTGTATTCTAAAGAGATTGAAGTGTTGAAAGAAGAAGTGAGATGTATGCTAGTAAATGCAAAAAGTAAAACCCCCGAGAAAATGAGTTTGATCAACGCACTGGAGCGCCTTGGTATCTCCTATCACTTTGAGAAAGAGATCGAAGAGCAGCTCGAACAAATCTTTCATTCTCATGCACACCTTGAAAATAATGAAGACTACAATGATTTGTTCACAGCTGCTGTTCATTTTCGAGTATTTAGACAACATGGTCATAACATATCTTGTGGTAATTAAACCCCTCATAAATCACTTACATAAATGTTTATATAAAAGTATACAATTCACAAAACTTGTCCTTAGAGATGGCTGATCGATATGGTGTTGTTTGTTCTGAAACAGATGTTTTCAACAAATTCAAAGACAATAATGGTAAATTCAAGAAAAAAACTTACTGGGGATGTAATGGGGATGCTAAGCTTGTATGAAGTTGCGTGCTTGAGGATACATGGAGAAGATATTCTAGATGAGGCTCTTGCATTCACAACCACTCACCTTAAGTCCATGGTGACCAAATTAAGCCCTTTTCTTGCAAAGCAAGTGATGCATGCCTTAAAGCAACCCCTCCACAAAGGCGTCCCAAGATTAGAGGCTAGGCATTACATCTCTGTCTATGAAGAAGACGATTACAAGAATGAATTGTTATTGAAACTTACGAAATTTGACTTCAACCTGCTACAATTAATGTACAAGCAAGAACTGTGTCACGTCTCAAGGTAACGTGGGGTGTTTATGTGTGGAGAGGGAGAGAGAGTATCCATTTTTGTGTAAATCTGATTAATTTTTTCTGTTGTGTATAGGTGGTGGAAAGACCTAGACTTTGAATTAGAACTTCCTTTTACGAGGAGCAGAGTGGTTGAGTGCTATTTCTGGGCCATGACTGCGTATTTTGAACCTCATTACTCTCTTAGATGGATCATATTCACTAAAATTATTGTTATGGCAACAATACTAGATGACACATATGATTCATATGGTATAATTGAAGAACTCAAACCTTTTACAGATGCAATACAGAGGTATACTATTTGCAATCCCAAATATATATATTTATATATATATATTTCTATATATATGTTGATAATTTGAATCTCTCAATTTTCGTTTTCTTTTTCTTTTTTTCTCCCCCACCTCCTCCCCTTTTTATGTACTTTGAAATTTTGGACCACCCTCCAAAATTTGAACATGCTAAGTATAAAAGATCCGTCTTTTCGCAAGTATTATATAAGAGTAACAAAAAGAGATTCATGCATGGTGGATGATTATGTTTTATTTTCAATTGAATAAATATGAAAATGACGTTGTTAACTTTTAGGTGGGATATGAGCGCCATCGATCAGCTCCCATATTATATGAAGATATTTTATAGAGCTCTCCTAAATCTCTATGAAGAATTGGACAAGGAAATGACCAAGCAAGGAAGATCCTATAGCGTTGATAGCTTAAAAATTGCTATATGGCTTATTTATTATTATTTTTTTTCTTTCAAAAAATTATTATTATGGCAAGTAAATCACACACTCACTTTTGTTTCTTTGTGGAAAAAAATGTTCTATGGCTTACCGAAGTCCTTTTCCCCTCTTTTGGTGATTTCTCTTCTTTTGCTTAATTCCACCATGATTAAGAAGGATTATTATTATTTCCACCTTAATTAAAACTCCAATGTATAATAACATGAATTTATTTTGTCTTACACATTACCAGTTTAAAGAACTTGCGAGGAGTTACTACATAGAGGCCAAGTGGTTCAGAGAAGGATATGTGCCATTTTTCGATGAGTATATAGGCAACGGACTTGATAGAGCTGGTTATTATGTGCTCACAGCATCATCCTTTATGGGCATGGGAGCAATTGCTACCACTGAGGTATTTGGTTGGTTAAAAGATAAGCCTAAAGTTCTTGTTGCTGCAAACACAATTGTGAGGCTCATGGATGATGTAGTAGATTATGAGGTATAGATCGATATACGATAAATACATTCATATAATATAGAAGTTATAATGTAAACATCTCAATAGTTATAAATCTTTAATGTTTGTAGGAAGATCTAGAGAACGGACATGTTGCTACAGGAATTTTATGCTACATGAGGCAACATCCTGGCATGATGTTAAAGGAAAAGGTAGTTGATGTGTTCAATAGAAGGGTTGAAAATGCATGGAGGGATATAAATGAGGAAATCCTCGTGCCAAACTCCATCTCCATGCATCTCCTAACGAGAATTGTCAACCTTTTAAGATTAATGGATACCTTTTACAAGAAAACTGATGGATACACTCATCCCAATAAAGTATGGAAAGATCATGTCATCTCAATGTTCATTGACCCCATACCTGTATGATCATAAATCTGTAACCAAATATGTCGATAATATGTGTGTGAATAATATGTTTGTTTGGCAAATTCCATTCCAATGTTACGCTTTATTGTTTATGACTGACCTTTTGAAGTTACTTCAGAATATCTGTACAGAATGTTCTTCAGTCACAGTAGTCAAAGGTAAAAAGTGTTGGGATTTATATGTCCTGGCATATCAATTTCTATTTGGATTAAAGTGATATATGTTCCTAACATATCTAAAATATTTATGCTTTATATAATTGGTAAATTTAATATATTATGTTTCGATTCATTATGGAATTGATAGTGTCCACTTGATTATAATAGATATTTATATATATATGTGATGGTGATCAATACATGAATATAAATAGTAATCATAAATAGTTCATAGTCAGTAATTATGGATGGACTCATTATTAATTTAGACTTGAATTGGATTTGTATTAGGTTGAGATATATTGCGAGAGCCGTCGTATGCAATTGCTCCCTATTACTATCATGGCATTTGATTCTCAAGCATGAGAGAAGTATAGACTCTTGTATTAATTAATAATTTCTTGGATTTGTTCAACGGATATGATCCATAGATCGGCACTTTGGATAGTTATGTAATTAATAGTTAGAGGGTTATATTCTTAATATTTGCATCAGTACTATTTATATTTATTTTGTATTGATTATGATTGATCACAAATTAAATTCGAAGGCTTTCGTATGTTTTAGACAAAATGATTTATTATATATTTATTAATTTAAATTATTATTTTTGTCAAAAAAGTGTTTTATTGTGATCAAGGTGGAAATAATCAAATGTACCAAAATAAATATAATAATTAAGTAGTCGGATTGATGGCTTTATTTATCCAATAACTAATTAATCTAGAGGGGTTAAAGTGCAACATTGACTTAGAGGTTATTTACTATTTAATTGGAGTGCAATTAATTTCTTTTAGTGGAGTATAAATTAATTTATGAATTAATTAAATTGGGTCCATGGTTTAATGGACCAAACTAATTATTAATTTATAGTAGCCAAGAAAATAGTAAACCCAAAGGATTCTCACCCATAGCCCAAGTTGATATTGAAGTCCTATTAGAATTGAGATATGTGAATTAGAGATTGAGAAGGATTTATTATTTCATTTTTCTCATCATTATGTTGCCTATATATACAAGGGTCTATGTATATTTTAGGTGAGACTTTTGGAAGAAAATAAAGAATATATTTTCTCTCTCTAGTTTTTTAGGGTTTGCTTTCTCTTTTAAAGGAGGTTACCACAAGCCTTACCTCCAAGGTCATTCATCGAGATATATTAATGATTCCTAAAGGGAAGATTACTATTAAGAAGAAGGAGAAAAGATCTTACTAAGGGATCTACAATAAGTGAGAACATTCACTTTAGAGGAAATGTTTAATGGTTTACTCAAACATTTGATGTAAGTATTCAATCTATTAATTGAATGATACATCATATTTTATTTTTGCATAAAACTTGTCTATATGTGATGAATTAAGATTTATGTATGTAAATCCCTCAAAAAGTTTTTAAAACTTGCACGTTTCTCGACAGTGGTATCAGAGCATGGTTTGATTCATTACTAGATATCATGTTTTTATGAAAATCATCATTCATGAATCCAAATTATATATGCATATGTATATTTTAATATATGATCATGATGTATGTATATTTGTGATTGTATGATGTTGATGTATATTTGTGCTATGGATGAAGCTTATAGGTTAAATAAATGTAATTTTATCTTTGGATAAATGTAATTAAGGTTTTGATTTAGCCATTTAAAAGTTCAATGATATAATTTAATTTTTTCCATTATATTTCAAATTATAAAATTTATTTAAAGCCATGTAATCTTCATCAAAGGATGCTATGAAGCTTCAAGAAGGTTCAAAAGGGTTAAATTAGGCTTCAGGAATTTTCTAGAATTTTTTGGGCTTAATTTAATTTTTTGAAATTTTTTCTGAAATTTTCGGCGTTTTTCTGGCGGTCAGAGCGCTGCCGCGGGCGAAGTCGGCACCGAAAAGGAGGATGGCCGATCCCATGCTTCATGGTGTACTATCATATGGTGCAACCGGATTTCCAGCCATAGGATCAGTCAACAGAGAAGAGATGATAAGGTGTAGTGCAGCCCATGAAGCGCTCAAGGCTCACCCAATCCACAGGCGCGTGAGCTGCATGTGCTAATGCAGCAAACTACACCAGGTGCGTGCCAGCGCGTGACACGCGCAACCAACTCCCACCAGGGCGTGCAAGGGCGTGGGGGCGCGTGGCATGCGCTGGAAACCTTCCCAGGCATATACCTGCAGGTGTACACAAACCTATAATTGACCCTCGCGCAATACTTAGAGCAATTAAATGTTAAAAGCTAAATCCATTGGCCATTTAATTTGCTTTATCTATCATTTATTTATTTATGTGATGTGATACATGGAATAATTAATTGCTAATTATTATTGTTCATACATTGAATCCATGATTTTTATCTAAATGATTTGATTTATATTAATTAAATTATGCAAATTAATTGGATTTGATTACTAATCAATTAGAGGGCGCTTATTGGGAAACGAAAAATTATTTTTAAAGTGTGCCTAAAATTAAATATTAGTGAATCATTTAAAAGTTCATATATTTTCTAAATTTAATTGGATTAAAATCAAGGCGTTTTACATGCATTAAATCATGAATTGAAAACCCTAATTATAAATAATTAAAAACTGAGTGGAAACGGAGATTTTTATACATTACCCCATGGCCTTCGTTATTATAACCATTGTAGTTAGATCTTCAAAAATAAGGTCCCACGCATGATTTGAAGAGTCTAAAAATTACAAGAATGGTTGTCTCATGAAAATAAAAATATTAAATGTTTATTATAATTAGATCTTTAAAAATAAGGCCCTACACATGATTTAAAGAGTCTAGATTATAATGACATGATATTTAATATTTTATTTTTCATTGGAGCATTAAGAATGTTATATATTCAATCTAAAATTAATAGTATTAGCTCCCCAACAGAGTGGTCTATACTAGGTAATTTTAGAAAGGCTAAACATAATCAGGAATCATTTCATATAGATAGACAAGGCATTGTCTTAAGAGATATGAAAATGATGGGATATGCCTGTCAATAGCAATAATGAACTTCGTCAACCGAATAAGTTATTGGCGTATTAGTTATTTGATTTTTCATGCAGTAGTTAAATGACCCACATATTATTTTAATAGAAGTGCTCGCATAATAGCAAATGAATCTCAATAATAGTAGTAATGAACTCCTCCATCAGGATAAGTTATTGACTATTGATTGTGCGATTTGTTATACTACGAAGTCGAGGAACCCACATTAATTAAAAGGTTTTTATTACCAATAGTGATAATGAATTCCTATATTGTTATATATTATACTATGTGATGAAAAACTTATTTTAATTTTAAATATGTATGATAGTATTAATAATTCACCTTGTATATTGTATGAATACATTTATATTCGGATTAATTATGTCTAATCCATTTAATTTGCTTGCTAACATATTCAATGCAATTGGACCTCTTTTAATACGGACTGGAAAAGGAACTTAGATATTTTATTCATAACGTAAGGGTACAAAATGTATTTACTACTCCTATACCTAATCCTTTTACTTTAAGATACCCAAGAGAACACTAATGCTTTTAATAAGTGAAATAAGGTAAATGATATGTGTTGGTGCAATATTGTAGAGTTTATCTCGAATACACTCCAAAGCTAACATTTACATTATTTTATTTTCTTTAAGTATCATGTTAAATGTCAATGAGATGTTTTGGTGAGATTAGCTAGAGTATATGCCTAAGTACTATGTCAGATCTAAATACTATCAAGATAGCCTAAGGATCTCCAGTAAAAGATCGAATTTTGGAAAATGATTGTTTATTATTTAAAAATTAAACTGGAAGTCAATATAACTGACTTGGGTGATAGGTTTCAAGTTGACATAATTATTGCCTTGTTACCAAACTTGTTCGACTCTTTTAGAGTGAACTAAATAAGGAACCAGTTTGAGTTCACACTCGCTGATATTTTTATAGAATTGGTAACATATGAAAGGGTAAACAAAAGTATGGGGGTCCCTATCAATCTAATATAGTCTATACCATCTTCTTCTAGGCCCAAGTGGAAGGGCAAAAGAAATAAGAAGGATGATAATAGGTGACGAGGCCGCTTGTGAACACCAAAATAATGTAGTGAATGTGTGGTTCAAGAAAAGCATTTTAGGTCAAGTTTAAATTTATAAAAACCACTACTACTAACGTAGCAAGAGTGAGTAGGGATCGTCCCAAGGGATTACACGTGTTGGAATTTAACTTCAACTCTAATGTACCAAATGATTGCAAAAAGAGATATTGGTAGATTACACTAAGGTACAATGAAATTAAAATGCAAGTAAAGTAAACTAATGAGAAATAGGGATTTAAGAGATATAAAGAGAGGTCTTAGGGTGTTGGAATCACCACTAAGCTCATGTAATTAACCACTTGCTTTCCATTAATGGGGAATACATTGTTGTGAACAAAATACGACTACCAATTGCAATATTAAGCATGGACCATCAAATTCATGTATGAATTGTCTACCTAACCAACAAATAAACTAAGTGTAGAACAACACAGCAAATCTAAGCATGACCCATCAAATTAGTCACAATTGTAGCACACATCAATCTAGAGAATCATGGAATTTGTAATAATAAGCCATGGAATATCAAATCAAGTATAAATTGTCTACCTACCTACAAGTATGAATTAAATTGTAGAACAACCTATCAAGTATAAGAATAATCCATTAAATAAATTGACAAACCCATTCAATGAAAATCCATGTCTAGCCATCACTAGATCCTTAATTAATTACACATGGACATGCAACCAATATAGAGAAACTAGTGTAGAGATCAATTCCCAAATAATCACACATAAGACAACATGT